CGTGAATAGAAAGCTCGTTGACAGGGGTAGTACGAAAAGTTATCTGAATCAGGCGCCAGGGTTACCTTGAACCCGCCAGGCAAAGCGGGATGCGCATTCCCCGTTCGCTACCTCGCCAATGACGAAAATGTGATGTTGAATATCGCAATTGCAATGATATCGCGGTCATCAACACTCACATTACGTGTGTTTTTTTCAATAACATACAGCCCTAGCGCCCTCTCATTCTCCAACAGCCAAACTGATTGCGACTTTAGTTTGGTGAATATATATATATATATATACACTGCAGAAAGGTAATACTGTACCTTTGAAAAGTAAAATGCAAAAAATAACATGTTTTCTCTTTTATTTGCTTTTCAGTTCCCGGCCCACCAGGTAAGCCCACACACCCAAAGTGTACTTTCCATATCGTACACCAGAAAAATCATCTCCAAGGAAAACTCAAACACATAAGCGGCAACTGCGTCTGGACTTTATCCACCGCCACCGTTTTTTAACGTTTAATCAATCTATCAGGCTCTCCAAGCCCAGTTGGTAACTTGCCATGAGGCAAAATGGTTTGTTGGTTGACCGTGGTTTGAAAAGTCAAGGTTTCAATAACCGCTGAAACATTCCGTCACTGCTCATGACCTTTTTTTATTTATTTATTTATTTTAGGGGACTTACAAGCAGGGCGCAATATGATGGTTGCTTTCAGATTGCGCTAAATCTGAAGCGAATGATCTGTAGCTTGCGTCATTTTTTTCCTTCTGCTCAGTTGAGCAGAGAGGGGAGGAGTGAGCAGTTAAGCACACACACACACACACACACACACACACACACACAGAAGGGTGGCAGGCGAGGAGCATACCGATATGGTTCATTTTTGCTCTGTTAAAGGTAACCTCCCACACCTCCGGTAGACTCACCTTGGAAAACGGGCTGACACGTGAAAAGCGCTTTTCTACCCGTGGGACTCAAATCGCTTAACAGTGCTGCCTCGTTTACATACTGATAATGCAGCAATAGGAGCAACAGGGGCTTCAGTATCTTGATGGAGCAAATCATGCTTCTTTCATTACTTTTTTCTTTGCTTTCGTCTATTGGATGGGGTTTATTTTTCAATTTTTATCATATGTAAGCCAAGCTTTTTTCTTTTTCTATGTTACACATTTACACATTTTTTGACCGACTCCAACTTTAAACCGTTCATCTTATTCATACCACTGTTGGGTTTTTTTTTTCAAAAATTAAAATACAGAAATGAATATTTATTGTCATTCCTTGCTTTTTAAATTGTTTGACCAAAATCAAAATATTCAATTTTGACCTTTTCTGCTCATTTCAGGCCATTGCATATTCATCTAGGTCATTGAATATTAGTGCTGTCAAGCGATTAAAAAAAAGTTCGATGATTTAATTATGATTTGTAATTAATTGATCTAATTCATCGATATTTTAATCTCATCTAAAAAGTGCTGAGAAAACCCCTATTTTCATTTTTAATTCATTACATTATTGAGGCAGATCAAAAGACAAAAAAAGTGGCATTATGAAGTCTTTCATTGTTTGCAAACAGACTTGAATGGATGCAGTCCTAGCCATTCACTCGCTGCTGGAGTTGAGACTCATCCCAAGTCTGACCTGCGACCTTGAGTTTTGACCACCAGCGTGAATATCACCGTTTTGTTTGTTTTTGTAAATCCCCAAATCATTACAAAATAAAAATAGCACATCAGGTCCATAAAAAGTGCTTCGGTTAACATATCGAAAACAGTAAGACCATTTTTCTGAGCAATACAAGTCCTCAAAGCTGAACTTATTTCGGATCATAAAAAATAAATAAGAGACCCTGAAATCACAGTGCTGGAAGGTTACACTTCAAAAATAACACTGTTCAACATGAGAAAACTAAAGTGCTGAAATAAACATCAACCACTTCTGGTAGGCTACTGAGTCAAGATCATGTTTGGATGAAGATTAAAAGGTGTTCTCTCCCCCCTATCAGCATGTGTGAATGCCACAGAGGCTGATGTGGTCTTCTTGGTGGACAGTTCGGGCAGCATTGGCAGTGCCAATTTCCAGGAGGTCCGAGAGTTTCTCCAGAACGTGGTGTCTGGCTTGGACATCGGTCCTGACAATGTCCGCGTGGGTTTGGCACAATACAACCAAGACCCTGTTCTAGAGTTCTCGTTGATGGAACACATGGATAAGAACTCTCTGCTGGCCGAACTGGATAACCTCCCCTACCTGGGGGGAGATACACAGACAGGCGAGGCCATCGACTTCATCCGGACGCAGCTGTTCAACGAAAGCGCAGGAAGCCGAGCGAGCCAGGGGGTGCCTCAGATCGCCGTGGTCATCACAGACGGAGCCTCCGGCGACGGCGTAGTTCAGCCTGCTCTGCGCCTCAGAGACCACGGGGTCACCGTCTTTGCTATCGGAGTGGGAGGAGGAGCCAATGTGAACGAGCTGGAGGCCATCGCGAACCAACCGTCTGACGACTTCCGATTCTTGATCGACAGCTTCCAATCTCTTCAGAACGTGAGCGAGGTTGTCCTGGAAAACATATGCGATGCCATTACCGACCAGTTGCGAGGTGAGTCACGGAAGCACAGGCAGGGGCTTCTGGGTAAAGGTTTCCTGGTTACGAATGCCGTACAATTCACTGGTTTGCTGGGTGGTGTCGAATTACGTGAATAGAAAGCTCGTTGACAGGGGTATTCCGAAAATTTATCTCAATTCGGCCACCAGGCTTTCCTTGAACCCGCCAGGCAAAGTGGGATGAGCATTCCCCGTTCGCTACCTCGCCAGTGACGAAATAGTTATTTTGAATGTCGCAATTACAACGATATTGCGGTCATCAACACTCATATTACATGGGGTTTTTTTCAATTACATGCAGTCCCAGCGCCCACTCATTCTCCCAGGGCCACAGTGATTGTGACTTTATTTCACCGAATGAATTATTTGTGTATATATATATTTCTATATATACAGTCATACCTCGGTTTTCAACCATAATCCGTTCCAGAAGGCTGTTCGGAAACCGAAACCACGCTCTTTTTAAAAAAAATCTTTATCGAACACGTCTTTTCAGAATGGAATGCTACCCAAGGAAGCGTCACTTCCTCGTGTAAGGAAGGCGAGAGGAGTAACGTGACGCATTCAAGGGCGCTCAGTTTGTTTAAGAACCAAATATATATATATATATTATATACACATACACACTGTAGAAAGGTTGTCCTGTACCTTTGAAAATTTAAATGTAATTAAAAACATGTTTTCTCTTTTATTTGCCCAGGTAAGCCCAAACACCCAATGTGTACTTTCCATATTGTACACCAGAAAAATGATCTCCAAGGAAAACTCAAACATGCAAGCCCCCAACTGCGTCTGCACATTATCCACCGCCACCGTAATTTAATGATAATTGACCAAATGCCAAATGTATTGTTAAGGTCATACTGTACATTCAAAAATTAAAATAATGTAATAAATCAGGCATTTTCTTGCGTTTAATCAATCCATCAGGCTCTCTGAGCCCAGTTGGTAACTTGCCATAAGGCAAAATGGTTTGATGGTTTAAAAAGTCAAGGTTTCAATAACCGCTGAAACATTCCGTCACTGTCAATGAGCTTTTTAAATTTTTTTTTTTTTTTTTGAGGGGACTTACCAGCAGGGCTTAATATGATGGTCGCTTACAGATTGCGCTAAATCTGAAGCTAATGACATGAAGCTTGCGTCTTTTTTTCCCTTCTGCTCAGTTGAGTAGAGAGGGGAGGGGTGAGCAGTTACACACAGGAGGGTGGGAGGAGAGGAGCATAATTTTATGTTGACTTTTTGCTGTGTTCATTCATGGGCATTGTCCTCAAAAAAAAAATCATGGTGCCAGAAGATGCTCCTGAGCCCCAAGGACAACATGAGGACCCTATGTGGTCTGTTCGAAAAAAAAATTACATTAATGACCCGTGAGCGGACATTGTGATTTCAGAATTAAAACAAATTTAGGATAAATGTTTTGTTTTTTGTTCGATTATATTTTTATATATGCATTTTTGTGTTGGACAATTTTGACTGCAACCACTCATATCCAAAATAATATAATTTTGTCTTTTGTTGGTAGGTGACGTGTTTGAAGGAACAGGTACTTACACACACACACACACACACACACACACACACACACACACACACACACACACACACACACACACACACACACTCACAGGCATTGTACTGGCAACTGCTGGAAGCAAATCCACTTGCTCACCATCAAAAACAAGAAGCAATGCTGTGCCTTCACCAGTAGAGGCCAGCATATCACCATCTCCAAATGGTGGCGATTCCTTTTGTACTGTGAGAAAAATACTGTGAAAAGTCTCCCAACTCTAAGAGACAAGGGGAGTAGATAGGTAGTTTCGGTGACTTAACTTTTTTTCATATTTCTCAACAGTGTGCCTGCAGGTAAAAGCTCAGGGTAATTTTACCCTGGGAGTTAATGTGCCAGAAATACTCCAACAAGTAAGTGCATGGAATACCTGACACATGCCGCACCGAAGTCCACATTCTTGCTCTCATTATAAATATTTGCTCTCTCATAGCTCATCATTAATGCAACTCGTGAGTTCTGTGACGACTGCCAATTCGAATTCAATTCTACAACGGTGACCCTCTACTAGTCACCCTGATGGAAGTCTAACTTCTTCGCGTGCAAGAGGGGAGAAGCCCACTGTTCTTCCAGTTTGTCAATCATGGCATGTGATTGTATACACAGGGATGACTTTAATGCACGCTTGTCAACCTATGACAATAAAAGAGCTCAGCACAGATTTGTTTTATTTTATTTGATGTGTAAACAATGTTGAATACGGTCTGCAGTTCCACCTCCTTACATGTTGACTCGCACTTCTAAAAGAGGATGAGGCAATTATGTCGTAGGAAGTGGAAGCAGGTCCCCACAGCCCCCGGATCGTTCAAATTAGACAAGCGCTGTCCGTCCTCACAAACCTTTGACCTCACTGAATTAATTGTATGAAGAGCATGTGCAAATGACTTCATTACTCGACCCCTTCCCCTCGATGAATCTGATGGGATCAAGCAGCCAATAAGCAGAGGCGGCAAAAGTACTTTCACATTCTACTTCGGAACGTGGGTATAAAAATACACGAAAAAAAAAAAGACACCAGGAAAAGCCGTACTGATTCAACTCTTGTAATTTATCAGGTGTCATTTGCAAAGCAGTTCACACTGAAAATTACAAATACATTTAGCTTCATACAATGTTTAAAAATATTGGTGTGGATTTTACGGATCATTTTTTTAGAGATGTAAATTCGTTAAATGTATACGTTTAGTGTTTAAGGATGGTGTATGTAGTCGTACACTCACCTGAATTGTGTGTGGACAGCATGGGATCGGTCCTCGCTCAGTGATGGTGTGGATATGGCTGTGAGTAGTTTGTCCTTATGTGGAGCCTGTGGCTGGCTGGCAACCACTTTAGGGGATTTTGACCAAAGACAACTGGGATAGGCTCCAGCACCCCCTGCGACACTGTGCTGGGTAAGCGGTGTCAAAAAATGACATGACAAATGTTTAAGGTTATATATTAACCTATATTTAATATGTTTATGGCAGAGAAGTAAAAAGTTGTCCCCAACAAAAGAAAATGAAACAAAACAAAAAAATACTCAAGTTCAGCAGTCCCAAAGCTTTTTTTGCTCAACGGACCGGTTTAATGTCACACAATGTTTCCAGGGACTGGCCTTTAAGGTGTGACGGATATATACAACAAACTAATATGATATGACCCACATGAAAACTGTGATATTTTCTCAACATAATAATAAACACGAGGAACGGCAGATCTGGCCGCAACGCTCTCTGGTCGCTATGGTAATGTTGAAACGTGCCCTCAAAATAAGTTACAACGCACCATTGCCGCATGTTATGCGGAGTGGGCTTGGTGCACAGGAATCTCTCGTTGAGATAAATCCGTATTTTAAGTAGGACTCCTGATACTGTCTGTTAAATGTCGCCTTCTTTTTCTTGAAAGTCGTAGGTTCCTCTTCTGTCTCCTGGCTCGGCCTTCCCAAAGAAACGTTCCAAAGATTTTGCAAGCTACTGGGTTTCATTTTAGCGGTAACCTGTCACGTGACCGAGAATCGCGCCTTGACCTGCGTCAAGTGTGACATATTGTAGACGGATGTGTTCAGAGTTTTTACTCGGACAAAGTTAAACAAATGACTCGACACACAGGGAAGATTGTCTTTCTGACGGCGGAAGAGGATCTCTGAGGGCGAACAACGGTTATTGCCCCGTGGTCACACTTAGAGTTCCTTGTCCTCCAGTCGGACTTTTATTGTTGACATATTTTGCAAAATACAAGAAAAACACTGCCCCCGATATTTGCAGACCACGCCCCGGTCCGGCCCCTCAGTCGTGATCTGATTCCCTTGGTTTAAGCTTTGAATCACAGATACGTTGACACCTTTCAGTCTGGTCTACAACGAATCAGCAAGTTGCAGACTTTGTAGATGACAAATGACCGTCAAGATGAGAGTATTATTCACGGAAGAGCTGGCATGAAGGTATCAGCCATGCTTGGAGGATTCCGCACAGATTTCTTGGTCAGTGACGCTTCTCTTTCTAACTCGGAGTGGAACTCATTGCAGGTAATATATTCAACATCACGCTCTTCCATTTCAGGAATATAGGGGCTCCAATAAACTCAACTCTCAACTCAACTCACCTGTATTTATAGAGCACTTTCAAACAGCCATCACGGCACACAAAATGCTGTACATGGAGCAACTAACATATACAACAGTAAAGCAACAAATCAGGAACAAAGACGGTAGAGAGCACCAAATAGTATAACTAAGATCATAATTTGGGTCATGCTGAGTCAATTGCCAAAGAATACAGGTGAGTTTTGAGGCGGGTTTTAAAGATGGGCAGCGAGGAGGCTTGACGAATGTTCAGTGGGAGGTCATTACAGAGAGAGGGACCAGCAACGGAAAAGGCTCGATCTCCCTCTGAGCCTCAGTTTAGTTCTTGGTACTTCTAATCATGTCTGGTCCGCAGACCTGAGACGGCGGGCAGGTATGTAGGGGCAGATGAGCTCAGAGAGGTAAGGTGGCGTGAGGTCATTTAGAGATTTGAAAACAAAAAAATAGGATCTTGACTCATTTTAATTATATGTTCAGAGTTAAGCGGTGGCATGACAACATACCCTCCCAAAACTGATAGAAACATCACCGCCCTTCCAAGTGTCACACCTCTTTTAGTGACTGAGCTTCCTGCGGTGAATGTGACAGAGCGATTCCCTTTCACATGCCACAGAACATCCTGTCATTGAAGCAACGACTAATTTGATTATTGACGATGTTGTTAGTGGAGCTGCACAGAACAGACCACCACAGTCAGGTACAGTGATTGGCCTGTCACTTTCCAGGAAGTTTGCTTTTTTTCTAAACTGGTTTCTGGATTCATTGCCAATCACGTAATCATTTATGACTTTCCAGAATGCCAACTCAACTGTAATTTTGACAAAGACCTATGCCAATGGGAGCAGCTGGTTACTGATGCATTTGACTGGACACGCCAAAGTGGCTCAACCCCTACCCTCCTGACAGGGCCCTCTTCAGATCACACCACAGAATGTAATTCAACCATCTGAGTAATGATGCACATTATGTTTGAATAGAAAGTTATTGAAAATAATTACACAAAATGTCAGATGCATTCCAAAATCAGGCACACCCTTTGGTACCAACTCCCTTGTACTTCAAGGGTGTTTTCTTTTTTTTAATATATATTTTTGAGCTGTTCTCAATTGGCCAAGGACAAAAATTGTTTATCTTTTACATAAAGTACATACAGTCGAAACTCGTTTCAAGGTACCCGGTTTCAACGTACATTCACATTTCAAAGTCCCGATTTCAGGTAATTAATTTTCCATTTGCCGATTTTGCTTACAACGGACGCCTTTCTAACGTATACTTTATAATGACAACCAGATTTTTCCCACAAAATAGTGAAAAGGCCTTCGTGACGACAAAACATGGGAAGCTAACTGCTGTCCCACCTGTCGTAAGATTTCATAATTTATACATAAGAGCAGCATGGCAGTTTGAAGATAAACTGTAACAGCATATTTCTCATTCATGATGTGACGAGTGATCTAATAAAACTCTTGTGTCATCATCCAGATGGCCACTATCTTTACATTGAAGCCGACAGCGCATCACATGGAGACACAGCTCGTCTCATCAGTTCAGAGTGCTCTGCTTCCGGTCCTCAATGTCTGCAATTCTGGTACCATATGTCCGGCTCGGCCGACACTATGGGCCTCCATCTATATTTACTGCAGGACAAAAAAGCGGATCCTGTTTGGTGGAAGAGGAATGATCAAGGAAATATGTGGCACTTGGCTGAGGTGGATTTGACTGTGAAAGGAGCTTTCCAGGTAAACTCCGACCACGTAAACGTTGTTTGCCATTGATGTCGCAATATGGATTAGCAGCCTACGATTGAGCAAATAAGAAAAAAAAAAACGTGTTTTCCCTTCAAGATCATTTTTGAGGGGCGCAGAGGCTCCAATGAAAGATCAGATGTCGCCATAGACGATGTGACACTGTACAGTGGGCATTGTTCAGGTCTGAAAAATGCCATAGAATACACATATGTTGCTCATATCAAAGACCGGGATCAACCCCCCGCTACGGCTCGGCCACCTGGAGCAAACGCCACAGTAGCTGCTGTCACTGAAGCAACAACAAATCGAATTATGAATGACAATTTTCGTGAGGATGCACAGAACAGAAGACCACCTCACTCAGGTACAGTGAGTGATGCGTAGCTTTCCTTGGACCTTGGAGTTTTGTAATTATTTTATTCTATACTCATAATTAATTTATTGTCAATAATGTCCCATGTCTGACTTTCCAGTGTGCCAACTCAACTGTAATTTTGAGAACGATCTATGCCAGTGGAAGCAGCTCGTCGCTGATGTCTTTGACTGGACAAGACAAAGTGGCTCAACCCAAACAGCCATGACGGGGCCCTCCTCAGATCACACCACAGGATGTAATTAACCTTCAGAGTCATTCGCAGTAAACTTTCTCATTCTTTTCATTAGGCCATAATGTTATTCATGATAATTACAGAAGCCAATTAAAAAAGTCGGACACGCCTCTCGGTTCAAAGTTCATTGCTCAACAATGGTGACGTGTTTCCTTTTGAGTGAACAAGATGTTACCAAGGACACAATTGTTATTCTTTTACAGATATTAAATATCGAGTATTACATTTGTGTGTTGTCAAAATAGCCTTTGGAAGATGCTACTCGTTTGACCAAAGCCTGAACTTTGCTGACAAAACAAGAATATATTAAAAGTGTTGATTTTGAATGAAATAGAGCCATCACTAGTAATGAAACAACAATTGAGCATTAACACATGAGAGGAATTGAAATTGTACTTAACCTCATTCAGTTCCTGGTCCATGAATGCTTTCTAAAGTAAAAGCAGATGTTTGCAAATTTCATGACTCACAAAAGATCATCGGTCTGCTGTCATGAAGGATGACAGAAATCAGAATAATTACTGTTGAGAAGCTGAATGAAGTTTTAGAATTTGGAACATTTTAAGTTCAACGATGGCTCTACACGATTACAAAAACAGTTGTCGATGAATTTGATCATCAGTTAGTCTCACATTAGTGCACTCTGACACCTCTAAGAATTAAACTTGCGCCATCTGGTACAAGCTATCATCACTTTAAATAAACAGCACAACAGATGGATTCCCTATGAAATCATATTCTTCGTTAATAATGTGAAGAGTTAACTGATGAGATGCTTGTGTCATAATCTAGATGGCCACTATCTTTACACTGAAGCCAACGGCGCGTCACTTGGAGATACAGCTCGCCTCATCAGCTCCGAATGTCCTGCCGCTGGTCCTCAGTGTCTGCACTTCTGGTACCATATGTACGGCTCGGCTGAAACGATGGGCCTCCATGTCTATTTGCTCCAAGACAAAAAGGCTCAAGCTATTAGTTGGACCAGGAATAATCAAGGGAATATGTGGCGTCTGGCCCAAGTTGACTTCACCACAACTGGATCTTTTCAGGTCGGGAAAATCGAACTCAATAGTTTCACGTGCATCTTTACCACCAAAGTGCTCAGAGGAGAATTAAAATGTGCTTTTCATATTAGATCATTTTTGAGGGTCGACGAGGTTCTAATGAGCAGTCAGATGTGGCCATAGATGACATTTCCCTTTTCAGTGGGCGCTGTTCAGGTAATCGTTTACTTCAACCGACCATCTGCTTCGGTTATAATCGGTGTTGCTGATAAAAAGTGACTCGTTTTGCAGACCTGACTGAACCTACCACCCCTGCATCCATGACAACTCCTTCAGTTACAACTGAAGGTTTTGAACCTCCGGCAGGAAACATATCAACGACACAACCACCAACATCTACAGTAAAAACCACCACAATTGAACCTCAGCCAACCGTCACAGCTCGCCCATTATCAACCGACCACCCAGTCGACGAAGGAACCGAAGATCCGGGACCCGAACCAACAACTGAAGAAGTGACGCCACCCATGACTTTGGTCTTTCCGTCAAGTTTGATGGACACAGTGACGCAGGTGATTATTTTGTTATTTTCATTCCCCCCCCCCGGCCCCTCTTTAAACCACCACCAATCGAACCGCTTTGACATTGGTAGTTGGTACATGTCAGTTGCACATTTCCCCGATCCAGTAAACTAACCAAAATCATCTTCATCTTTGCCTGGGTGATGACGAAAAGAAACAAAAAAAATTAAACATGCTTCTGAAGCTTCACTTTGCACAACTGCTACCACATCGACACAGTCTTGTCGCCGCTGTTGTTTTCCTGAGAATTTGTAACCCCCCCCGGACACTTGAATTTGAAAGGTGCTGCGAGGAAGGCTCTCAACAGTCATGATTACCCAGCATTGAATTTGAATGAAAACTATCAAATCTTATCATCTGTAAATATTTTTTTCCCACCCTGAAATCAAATGCTGTATTCCCACAGAAATCACCCTACCACGAACATACAAAAGAAAAGTGCGAGGCCTGTGCGGAAACTTCGACGGGAGAATTTTGAATGACAGGATGAAACCGGACGGCACCGTGGCCAAGTCTGTTCAAGAGTTTGGGGAGAGCTGGAGAGTGTGACAAAGTAATGGATGAGAAAACTGCAGTCCGAAAAGCCTGTCGGGATATCGCTGACCCACAATGTTTACCCTCATCTAAGTTGTTATTTTCTTCAGACCGAGCTAAACCTGAAGAGTCAATAGCATGTATCAGTGTACACGGTTAACATCATGTTTGTTGGTACCATGCCTGAATTCATTAAACTCAACTCGCTATACCACAATGACGCATACTCCCACTTCTTTGGAAGGGAGACGCCTTCAAACATTGTTAAGATATTTTATTTTTGAATTGTTTTATTTATTTATCTATTTGTTTGTTTCACTGGGACAGCACACACTAATCAACACAAGAATAAACAGCGTCAATGCGCCGGACTTAGCATGAATGCCAATTTTGAGCCGTAGCCCCAAGGCAGGTTTCTACAAAAGCACAATGAGACACATAAAACTTTAAGACTATAATGACAGAAATAAAAACCAAACATGTAAGACGTCATGAAAGAAACAATACAAACAGTTGCAGTACTCAATCACAAGACAAAAGACCAGGATGGACAAATCACTTGGCGATCATGACAGCTGGAAAACGTGCTGCGCTGGTGCTTTGTGAATAAACAGAATCCCTGATTTGAAAACCTGCGAGGTTGCCATCGCAAAGCAGAGTATGTTCTCTTCTGTTTCCAGGTAATTATAATAAATTGCGTCACCAAAACAGTTAATGACATGAAGCTGCCTTTACTCTCAAGGTAACCATACTACATTACGACCAATGAAATGTAGAGGGTGTGCCTACCGAGATGAAAGCAGACAAATTAGTTGGCAACAAGAAGGGATAAAAAGAGGTGAAAAGAAAGGAAGTCATTTCTGAAAGCATCCTTCCTGAGAGACGTCAGGTGTTTGGGTCAGAAATGGATCAGTTTATTTGTTTGTTCTTTCTGTTGGCGTCCGTAGCGCTGATTAATGGTGAGTCCTTGTAACATTTGTTATTTAAAGGCTTGAATGAGTTGAATTTGAATTGAAATATAAAAAGTAAGCTGTACATCAATGCTGCAATTTAAAAACAAAAATTCCTGTCAGGATATGATCGTGACCACAATTCTCCTCTTTTTTGCATGTAGCGCAGAGCATGTAGGCAGGGTTTGTGTCTCGAAAAAAAACAAAAAAACAAAAAAAGCAATTAAAAAAAGTGATCTTCGTGAAATGAAGCACCAAAGAGACCTTTTGTTTTAAAATATAGAGCAACAGTTTTACTACAGTATAAGGTTGCATTATTAGCAGTTCATCAGACGGCCACCAGCTAATATCCACTTCAGAACTTGTCAGATGATCCCGTAGCCACAGCCGTTTAAAAAGTATACAGCAAAAACCTTCTTTGAAGTGACAAGAACACTGTCCATTCATAAATTCAAATGAGATAAATAACATGTTTTTTCTCTTTTCTTTGCTTTGAAGGTACCTCTGCCAGCAGCCAAGGTAACCATCCACGCATGCACATGGCGCATTGTACCCCAGAACAATGATCGACAAGGGGAGCTGAAACGCTCAAGTATCTAACAGCATCCAATCAAGTCTTGAGCGAATATGTTTTTAGATACTATATTGTTATTTTTGCCTGATATCTGACTGATCATTTTCGCCGAGCAACGATTTGACGATGGTATTAGGTTGCATTCTTAGAAGTTCATTAGACGGCCACCAGCTAATATCCGCTTCACAACCTGGCACGCGATCCCTTGGCCACAACCGTTTAAAAAGTATTCACCAAATGCCTAGCTTGGAGTGAAGATAAGACTGTCGATTCATGACTTAAAATGGAATAAAGTACAGATTTTTTTCTCTCTTTTTGCTTTGAAGTTACTACTGCCAGCAGCCAAGGTAACCATCCACACGTACACGTGGCGCATTGTATTCCACAACATTGATCTGCAAAGGAAGCTCAAATGCTCAAATGCCCGACGGCGTCCAATCAAGTCTAAAGCAACGTGTTCTCTTTTCTTTGCTTTTAAGATACGACTGCCAGCACCCAAGGTAACCTTCTACACGTACACGTGGCACATTGTATCCCAGAACATTGCCCCACAAAGGATGCTCAAACACTCAAGTGCCCAACGTCGTCCAACCAAGTCTAAATATGTTTAAAGATCTTACAAACAATTTTGTTCCATTTGCATCATATCTAACCGATAATAATCCCCGGGCAACAGTTTTACGACAGTATCAGGTTGCATGATAAGCAGTTCATAAGACAGCCACTCGCTAATATCCGCTTCACAACCTGACATGTGTTCCAATAGCCACAGTCACCAAATGCCGTCTTTGAAGTGATGGTAACACTGTCCATTCATGACTTCAAATGGAATACAATAACATGGGTTTTTTTTTCTTCATTTACATTTCAGTCACTGGCAGCACAGGTCACTTCCCAGCGTTGTCCATTCATTAATCATGACATTGTGTTTTTTTTCACCAAACGCCTAATGCACAGATAATACGGTACATTCAGAAATCAAAATGTCATAAATAACATGTTGGTCTTTTTTCTTGACTATTTCAGTGACCGGCACTGACGGTAACCTCCCACACCTTCGGTAGACTCACCTTGGTAAACGGGCTGTCACTTGAAAAGCGCTTTTCTGCTTTTGAGACTCAAATCCCTTCACACTGTTGCCTCATTTACATACTGGTAACACAGCATCAGGAGCAACAAGAGCTTCAGTATCTTTATGGAGCAAGTCATGCTTCTTTCATTACTTTTTCTTTGCTTTCTTCCTTTCGTCTCTTGGATGGGGGGGTTCCATTTTTAAAATATGTGAGCCAAACTTTTTTCTTTTTCTATTTTACACATTTTTTCACCGACTCCAACTTTAAACCGTTCATCTTATTCCTGCCATTGTTGTTTTTTTTTTTAAAATTCAAATGCAAAGTACAGAAATTAATATTTTTCATCATTCCCAGCTTTCTACATGTTTTGATCGATTCGAAATATTCAATTTCGACCTTTTCTGCTCATTTCAGGCCATTGCATAATAATCTAAGTCATTGAATATTAGTGCCGTCAAGTGATTAAAAAAGAGTTAGATTATTTAATTATGATTTGTAATTAATTGATCTAATTCATCTATATTTTAATCTCATCTAAAAAGTGCTGAGAAAACCCCTATTTTCATTTTTAATTCATTACATTATTGAGGCAGATCAAAAGACAAAAAAAGTGGCATTATAAAGTCTTTCATTGTTTGCAAACAGACTTGAATGGACAAAGTCCGAGCCATTCACTTGCTGCCGTAGTTGAGACTCGTCCCAAGTCGTACCTGCAACCTTGAGTTTGGACCACCAGCATGAATGTCACTGTTTTTTTTGTTTTGTAAATCTCCAAACAATGACAAAATAAAAATAGAACATCAGGTCCATAAAAAGTGCTTAGGTTAACATATCAAAAACAAAATAAATAAGAGACCCTTCAATCACAGTGCTATAAGGTAACACTTCAAAAATAACACTGTTCAACATGAGAAAATAAAGTGCTGAAATAAACACCAACCACTTCTGGTAGGCTACTGAGTCAAGATCATGTATGGATGAAGATTAAAAGGTC